TAGTAACAAGCTTTTGATCATTGCGTAAACATTTTCCCAATTAATGAAGTGTGCTACCTATGGAAAATAATGCATTCTGCAATCAATTCAAATCGACGGTTGTCAAGTTGTCTGCAATCATTTAAGACACTCCTTTGCTTGGAAATATTATTAAAAAACTTATACAGGGTGGTGAATCGTCAAACGGGTCTTCTTCTTCTTAGAGTACCATATCCCTACGGAACGTCGACAACTACCATGCTTATAATATTGTTATACTGATCTCGGTCTTGCGCTACGTGTAGCAATTGGTCCGCTGTCAAACCTGTCCACTGTCGCAAATTCCTCAACCAAGAGGACTTGGAGATTCCTCAACTTTCCTTTTATTTTACCGTTAAGAATTAGCCGAAGGAACTCATATCTTGGTCCTCTGATTATATGTCCAAGATATTCTAGTTTACGCCTCTTAATAATATTTAATAGAGTTCGTTGATGTCCCATTCTTCGAAGAACTTCTTCGTTTCTGGTTTTGCTAGTCCATGGAATTTTTAGTATCCTTCGATACAACCACATCTCAAACGCCTCGATTTTATTCATGATATCGGCGTTTAAAGTCCAAATTTTACATCCATACAAAAGTACAGACCACACGTAACATCTTATAAACTTTTCACGGATTACCAAATTTAATGAGTTATTGGATATATGATACCAGTGAAATAGAGGCTTGAATTTTTGAAATGAGTTTCTTTCCTGTTCAATTCTACATCGAATTTCGAAGGATGGATCTAGATTTTGAGTAATCCAACATCCAAGGTATTTGAATCTCTGAACTCTCTGCAGCGGTTGTTGGTTTAATATCAGTTGGGTTGCACCGATATCCACTTTACTGGTCACCATGTATTTAGTTTTATCGATATTTATCGACAATCCCCAATTTGTGCATTCCATGTCAACTCTATTGATTAGCTCCTGCAGATCGTCGATGTTTTCAGCTAGAATCACAGTATCGTCGGCGTACCGTATATTGTTAATTATTTCTCCTCTTATGATAATTCCTTTGTGATCTTTTAAAGCTTCCCTAAATAGATTCTCAGAATACACGTTAAAGAGTGTGGGAGATAGTATACAGCCTTGTCTTACGCCTCGTTCAATACTGATTGGCTTTGATTCTCTGTTGTTGGTATTAATAATGGCTGTTTGGTTTCAGTAAAATTTGGCAATAAGTTTGATGTCTTTCTCATCTAGTTGGATGCTCTGCAAGGCGGTAATTAGTCTGGTGTGCTGAACGCGATCAAATGCCTTTTCAAAATCAATGAAGCACATATATACGGGTTTTCTTACCTCCCAACATCGTTAAAGGAGTGTTTGCATAGAAAATAGTGCTTCTCTAGTTCCAAGGCATCTCCGGAACCCGAACTGCTCTTGACTAATTATTTCTTCGCACTCGTTGTTAATTCGGTTTAGAAGAATATGCAACAGTATTTTAACGGCATGGCTCATTAAACTAATGAGTCTACAATCGCTAAATTTCTTAACGTTTGGTTTCTTAGGTAGATAAATAAAGATCGATTTTAACTAGTCCGTTGGAATTTCACTGGTATATATTTGATTGAAAAGTACAGTAAGTTCTTTTATATTGCCATTTGAGAGTAATTTTAGCCATTCTCTGTATATTTGATCTGGTCCACTGGCTTTGTTGTTTTTGGGTTGGTGTATGGCTTTTTTCACTTCAGCTTTTAAGATTGATGGTCCTGTATTTGCACTTAAGTTAGGTAGTGATCCTCAATCATCCTTAAATAATGCCTTAATGTTGTTTTCCCATTCCACCTTTACTTCGTCTTCTAGGGACAGTGCATGACCTTCGTTGTTCGTTAATGTTATGGGTGTATTTCTTTTGTGTAATGTAACTATTTTTATTTTCTTATGTGTGTTAAATTCGTTATGTTTTCGTTGCAATTCTTCTAGTTCCTCACATTTTGCTCGCATCCATAACTCTTTGGCTTCCTAAAGAGGTTCCTAAACGGGTCTTAGTAAACTCTAAATTGTTGAATTCCTGCTTTTCTAATTATTTTACACCAGAAGTCATGAAAAACTATTTGTAGAGGACTGAAATATGTATCGAAAACAAATGCTAAAATTGTTCTACGAACTAAACGTATTCCAAAATTTTGCAAAAATATAATACATTTTTTAGGCCACTCCTCAAAGTCAGACCACACGCGGTGCATTAATGTGTATGACATGTTGCGTTTTATCATAATGATGTTTCTGATATTTTTTCTTATGGTGCCCTATCCAATTAGTGGATGATGGCGACAATACTCCTCTCGATCTTGTGTGGCTCTAAAAAGTGCATTGGCATCGAGATTTGTCCAATCCCTTATGTTTTTAAGCCATAAGTATTTCTTTCTTCCGATGCCTCGTTCTTCTTCTATTTTCCCTAATAATAGTAAATTATTTTATTGTTAATTAAACTTTGAAAAATGAAAGTGAAATATCGAGCACAATTTTAACAATTAAATCTTGCCCAAGTACTTTCGCTTACTACAGCATCATCAGGGGCAATTCGTCAAATTTGGGCTATCTAGCGAGCGTCGAATATGATAAACATGAATTTTAACATAAAACTGTACAAAAAACTACACTAAAACAAGGAAAAACAGTTTAAAATTAATTAAAATGGTTCTGCGCTCTACAGTCTTTGTCAGCAACAGGAGAGGTAATCATTGATTCTTTCTCCTATTGAATAGAATGTGATAATCATTTCCTTTCACAGCCTTTCATTTTTCAAAGTTCATGTATTCGAGCATTCAACCTTATATCAATAACATTTAATTGCCAAAATTTTTATTTTGTAATTTATTGTTTAAAAAATAATAAAGTTGATACAAAAATATACTTAGTTAAGGAGAAAGTAGCAATAATAAAAATGTTTTATTCCAGCACAAGTGCGCGAATTGTCAGTTCTTTATTTAGCGTACGATATCCCAATAGACCAATTCACAAGACATTGAACAATTAAAAGAAATTTACAAAAATTTTAAAATACTGGGACCGTGGTTTTTAATTGTACCTGTACAAACAATATTGCTGGGGTATCAAGAAATTTAGAAAATTAAAATGATATAAATGTATTAACATATAAATTTCAATGTCATTAAGAACTAAAAGAAGGGGATGCTGAGCAACGAGCGAAATTATGTTATGAAATTTTAGAGAGTGCTAATGCAGACAGACAATTATTAAAAAAATTTTTGTTTAGTAATGAATGTATATATACATTAAATAATAAACCAAATGTTCAAAATTATAGGATATGGTCGACAAGAAAGCCTGAGGATATTATTGATAGCCATACCCAGCATCGTCGAAAAATATATTCTAGTTAGTTCTAGTTAGAAATATTTAGACAATATAATTGGACCATTTTTCTATGAGAAAAATTTAAATCAAAAAGTTTTTAGACTTGCTACAAGAAGAGATTTTACCCAGTAATTTTACCCAATTACACACTGCGCATTTTGGTATGGTGAGAATGAAGTCTTTAGCCCGGAGTTACTGCTGGTGGCCTCTCATAGACAAGGATATTGAGTCTTTATGTAAAAATTGTTAATGTTGAACGTCATGGCTTAAAAACCTGAGCGAATAATTAAACAGATCCTCTGCATCTCTTTTTCGAGCTGCCGTCAACAAAATTAGTAGAGCCAATTTTATACCCAATGCACGATAATCGAGCAGGACACAAGAAGACCATGTACCTTAAAATAAAAATGTACTTTATGACCAGCAAGATATTTGCTTAATTACTTACCTTGTAACGTTTCAAACGTTACATTTTTGTTCTTATTAATTTCAAAGTACTTTCCATTATTTCCTGCTCATACGATTTGCTTTTCGTTGATAATAACTTCTTTTTCCTTTGTTTGTATTCCTATATTTCATTTCAATATTTTGCGATTACAAATAAATTCACTGATTCATTTCTTAAGTCTCTTCGTAGTTATGCCTTCGCTTACTTTATCATACAAGAAACAGAAACCCCACCACTAAATAATTTACCTCTATCAATCCGATCCGATTTAATTCCTTTTTAAAATAAACCAGCAAACGACAAGGCACTTAGAAATAAATCTTCGTGGTCAGAAACTTCCAACGGTCTGGGTAAGTTAATACTTTTTTTTTACAACAACATATTTTCATAGATTAATCAAAAACATTAGCACTGTTAGTTTTCCGTACAATTTTGTGTACGCTAGTACTTAAAAACTGCTTAAAATTTTTATTTTCGTTTTACCTTTGCTGTAATAATAATAATTTAATATAAATTACTGGTATTAATCGCACAACTTTGTCTGTTTCGTTTTTCATTTAATAATTTATCTATTAATTGCAATTATTAATTTGTGAGTTTTGGCAACATTAGAGAGTTCTGGATCGGTATACAGTTCTTAGAGAGAAGAACTTTCCGCTTGCCAGAATTCTTCTGGTGTTGGACAAAACTCGTGCCCCACGTTGGGCGCCAATTGTGTAACGGCTAGCTCATTCATTGCATCTTGAAACCCCTCAGGAGTGTTGTTCGGCATAAACTAATTTAATTTAAGAATAAAGAATTTTATAAGTTAATAAAATAATAATTCCCAATATAATAACAATTAAAAATTGAGGTTTTAGCAACAGGGAATTAAGCATCTATATACAAAATTCAAAGAAAGAAAGAACTTCATTAATAATTCCCGATTTCTCAAATTAAATTAGTTTATGCTGAACAACAACCCCGAGGGGTTTCAAGGTGCAATGAATGAGCTAGCCGTTACAACCTGTCCAAATAATAACAACAGTGGTCAACAATAACTCAAATAATCATGACAAAAATCAATAAGAAGAAAAAACCCGTCACGAAAATTTTCGTATTAAGTTTGTAAGTGTATATAACATAGAATATATCTGGGAGAAGCATTATATGTAGATATTTAATAAAGGATTATTTCTTCTGCACTATTTAACATATTTCACCTTACCAGTAAAAGAAATGGCGCCATTGTTATTATATTTGTAAGCTAATGCGAGACCAGTACCAACAGGAACATGAGCACCAACTATGCCATTTCCGCCATAGAAACGCTCTCCATAAATATGCATGGAACCACCCTTCCCTCTAGCAGAACCTACAAATATTTATTGTTATCATTAAAATCGGTTAACTATTTATTTATTACACTAACCAGTAACTTTGCCTAGCAGCTCTGCCAAAATATTCTCTACCGTTTCGCCGTGAAGGTAAGCCCAACCGTGGCATCTATATGCCGTAATTGAAGTGTCGTTAGGTCTCATCACAGAGTGGATACCAACAGCGCATGCTTCCTGGCCAACGTATACGTGACAAAACCCTCTTACTTGTTTCTTTAGGTACATATTGGCGGCAGTAATTTCCATTCGTCTTTAAAACAAAAACATGGTTCAAAAATATATTTATGGTGTTTGGGAGAAACATGATAACTCCAAAATAGCAAAAATTTTGTTAAGTCCTGCACTGCATTTTGTTTTTGATCTATTTTTGTTTGATCTGACTGTGGTATATTCATCACGTCTAAAAAACTTGCCACGGCTTAAGCCGTGATTTTTTTATGTAAGTGATAAGTAAAGTAAAGTGCATTTCATAAATGGCTAAACGACAGAACCCCAGGAACACGGGGAGAATATGTTACCCTCAGACAACAAGTTAAACAAAGAATAAAGCTCGAGAAAAACGAATACTGGGAGAGAATGTGCAGAGACATAGACATCAACACGATAGGGTATAACAGATCAACGGAAGCATGGAAGCAAATAAAGAACATCAGAAGTAATAAACCGAAGTAAAAATACCATACAGATAATTACATCAAAAGAGTGGACAAAGCATTACACAAAATTATTACAGTAGAATAGGCCGGAGTATATCTCATACGACCTGTGACAATAATATCTGAGGGAAGCAGAAATCACAGAGGAAGATATAAATAAAGCACTAAAGTAATCCAAAAACAATAAAGCACCAGGACCAGGGAACATAAAAATGGAACTGCTGAAATATGGAGGCGCAAGGAAAGTATCCTGTATACGAATGTTGTTCAATAAAATCGAAGCAGGAGGGAAGATTCCCGATGAGTGAAATTTATCATACATGTCCTCCATTTCAAAAAAGGTGACAAAAGGTCAACAAATAACTACAAAGGGATCAGTGTAATGCCTTCAATAGAAAGAATCTTCTCATCAGTTATAAAAGAAAAACTAGAACAACACATAGACCATTATAGCGAAGAACAAGCCGGATTCCGAAAAGCCAGATCATGTTTTGATAATATATTCATTATGAGACAGGTGATTGAAAAGAACAGAGAAAAAAACATTGAAAACATATGACCTTTATCGACTTAGAGAAAGCATACGATAGCGTGCCCAGGAAACAACTATGGAAACAATGAGAAGAATGCGCGTTAGAGAGAAATGGGTAAATATAAAACAAAGACTGTATAAAGAAACACAAGTGCAAATAAAGTTAGGTAATTGAAAAGATGGTATAGAAAATGTGGAATAATGGGCATAACAGTACAAGAGAATATATTACATTAACTTCTTTTCGCAGATTATCAAGTCATTTTTGCACAAGACAGGGCGGATATGGAATATATGGAGAATGCATAAAATATCGTGGATTGAAAAAGTAACTAATATAGAGGTGTTACAAAGAATGAAGAAAGAATGTGAAGTCATAAAAACTGTTAAAATTAGAAAGATTCAATATCTGGCACATTTAATAAGGGAGTGAGAAGTACGTATTACTGAGGTTGATTATGCAAGGGAAGATACAAGGAAAGAGAAACGCAGGACGACGCAAAATGTCCTGGCTAGAAATTTGAGAGAGTGGTTCGGCTGCAGCTCATTAGAATTATTCAGAAATGCGGCCAACAAAGTTAAAATAGCGATGATGATTTCCAACCTCCGCTAGGAGAAGGAACCCGAAGAAGAAGAAGAAGAAGGACGAAAACGGCGAACTCATAATGGGAAAAGCCGAAGAAGAAGAAGAAGTAAATAACATGAATATATCAAACTTTTCTTTTTGTTGTCTTGTACTTATCATAATTATTCATAAGCATTTGGTCGTATTCACGAACGTGTCGATTGCATTGAGTTAGTGTTAAGGTCTATCGATATCTATTTATTAGTTACACTTAGTCAGTAAGTCAGTATTAAAGTCAGTTTGTCTAAATCTATCGAAGGCGAATGGCGCAGTAAATGCGATCGAGTAATTTGGTAAACATGGTTTATAATACAAGTTATCGTATTACAGAAATAGTTGAGATGTGTTTATTAGAAAATGAACAGTCGTCTTCTAATAACGTAAGTATTTTACTACACAAAGATCCCATGGAACTGTGTAAGGCCAGAGTTATCCCAGTTTACCATCACAAATACTTTGAGGATATACCAAAAGGTGACACTCAATGTGGTAAAAGAAGGAAAGTAAATACAACAAGAAAATCTTCAGCTGATCAAAAAGAACAATCATCTTCTCAGAAGAAGATCAAATAATCATGCCAAAAGAAAAACAAACTATCATCATGTCAAAAGAAAAAGTGAAAGATGAACAATTTGTACATGATTTTTTTATATTTTCTCAGCAATGTTTTTGCTTATTTAATTTATGTGTAAATAACTCAAAATTGAAATAAAAAGTAAGTATTAAGCTATTTTTCGCTGATTCCTTTCTAAATATACTGTTTTTAGATTGTACAAATAACGTGCTAAAGGGTCAAAAAGCCATCATGATATTTATGATCACTTAAGGGCTTTACTAGAAATCTTAAAACTCAAATAATACAAAAATGACATGTTTACACTATTGAAATTAAAAACTTATAAAAACAGCTTATTTGAAAAATATTCAATAATTTTCCTAAGGGTCTAAACCTTAGAAAGAGCTCTTCTGAAAAATTGAGATTTGATGAATTCGCCCTTTTTCCATGACTCCGAAGATGTATTGTATACATTGTAAAAATAATAAAAACCAATAAAGGTCAAACATACCAATCTTCTAAAATAAGATACACCTAAAAGTCAAACTTCTAAAATTAGACAGAATTCCTTTAGACGAGATACCTACACAAGTTAACACAAGAAGAAAGATCCTACAGATAAAAAGATAACCACCATTAATTAGCTAATTAATTAATTAATTAAAAATTATTTAAATGATATGACTATGATTCTATCACACTTTTTTAATTCTCTTATCTCAGGGTTATATTCTTGCTTCAATATCTATGCTATTACATGTGAAAGGTAAGGTCCAAAGAATACCGGAATAATAAAAAACATATAGGATCTAACATTATATATTGAAATAAAAATAATGAAATAAAATTCACACTCACATGTTTTCAATAAACAATATCTCATATAATGATTCTCAAAATTTTGTTCTACGTAACTGAAGCTTCAAAATTAATGGTACAAACAATATTAGTTAAACTCTCAAAATCCAATTATTATTATAAATGTCCTAATCAAAATATTTATATCTTTTCAAAGTAATTGTAAAAAATTGTGTTATCAATGAAAGAAAAAGAACTGCAGAAAAACAAAACTCTCTATAATGATGACTGGTCCAAATCCTTGTTCTTATAGCCTACACTATCTATTCTTAGCAGCTTCCTAGGTAATCAGCAATCTTACAACAAATGATTGCAAGTTTATCGTCCTTAATGATCTCCTTCAAATGCACGAATCGTTCAAATTATGCTAGCTTCTTCTTTCTCTCAATAAACTGAATCTCTGGTTGGCCTGAGTGAAAAATTACTCTTGGAATATCTTCTCTTTACGATAAAACTGAATCTCTCGTTGGCGTCTGAACAGTGACTCTTGGAATTATAAGTAGAAAATATAACTTAGAATCTTTTACTGGCTCAGCTTCTGTCAGATACACTAACTACACGAAAACTCACAAACTTTCACTACTACTGCTTCCTACCTCTGGGAAACTACCGAGAACAACGGCCGTTCGCCTTGCACCTTGGAAACCGACGACTATCTTTTTTGTTCTTCAAAAACTAACCAAAGTCCCATTCTCAAACCAACATCCCCCATTTTTCACTCTCATCCAATCAAAAACGCGTCATACATCTCCCATTTCTTCATTTCGATAACACACAAATTCTTACCTACAATTATAAAATTTCCTAAAACATACAAATAATCTTTTCCTGCCAATTCTTAAGAACTAACAAAAACATATCTTTCTAAAATCTATTCTATTGTCCTAATTACTGCACAACATTTATTTGGAAAAACCACTTCAATTTTCTAGAATTTCACTTTAAGCTTACGCAGGTCACTCAAATATATTTTAACAAAGAATATAATTTATGCATATCTTACGTTTTGTTCAATACAGGTAATCCAAAAATTTAAAGACTTTCCTTCTTCGAAATGTTTGCTGTTTATTATCCTACTTTACTTATCTGAATTATTTTAATTTTGTTGGAACTTTGAAATATTTTAAGCAAACCAATATTTTTCTTGATTTTACATATCATAACAATATATATATATATATATTATATATATATATATATTATATATATATATTATTATATATATATATATATATATTATATATATATCTGGTTGCAATCCTTTTAATTTATGGTTTTCTCAAGCTACGAAAAAAAAAGGTAAGCACAATCCAACCCCAGCAGAAGACATTAATGACCAAAGCTAAGAGCCCTCAGAACCAATACATAGAGATTTGTTTATCTTTCAAAAAACTTTTACAAAAAATAGAGAAATAACGAGACAATAACCTTGTACATTAGCAGTATTGAAGTCCAATAAGCCAGCCTATTAATATATCTTCGCAAACGGTCGTCACTAATTATTTTAATTAAATATTGTAAATATCTATTTAAATGTTTAGTTTAAAGTTTATTTAATAAAAGTACTGTTACTTTGTTAGGGTACGAATTTAGAAAAAACTTTTAAATTTAAAAAGGTTATTTAAGTTGCATCTCTATACTATACTAGTATTTTTTCTCTTGTTAAATTCTTATGATCTTTATTACAACTAAAACTAATATTATTCAAGCAGGTGTTTATAAATGTTTAACATTCATTTTGACAAATGTAACTTACCTTAATATCAACATATCTCGATACAATTTTAAACCTTCATCTCTGGTAATCTCACTAGTTGGTGATGGTGACGTATCAAGTCTATGGATGTCATAATGAGAACTAGTTAATTGCAGCTCACCGGGTGTTTTTATGGGAGTATCGCCTGAATATGTCCTTGCTGTATTAAGCACCCTCTTTGACGCTGCTTCATTAGAGCCAGATGAATATTTTTTGCAAAATGCCCGAATTGGAAAAAATATACTATTTCGATGCAAGATATTCATTTTTATATGTTTGTATATGAAAGCGCTTTAACTGACAGTTTTTAAAACTATTTTTGACGTTAAAATTAATGCGTACACTGGCGCCATCTATTGTAAATATTTCGAAATAGAAGCATTAGTAAGAATATTTTTTAAAATGCATTTAAAATATTTTTTACTAATGAATAATAAAGAATGAAGAATGATTACTTAAATGCACACGTGGAATGTAAACCAAAGCATATGTTTTATAGAATATTTACTTTGAAAATACTGTTATATAATTTTTTAACAACCATGCGCTGCAAAATATGTTTTAATATCTAAAATTTTCACACATTTGATATATTATGGAATTAATTTTGTTTTCTTGGTATTAAAATGCCATATTGACAGTTGAACAAAAACAAAATTTTTTGTAGGTATGTGCTTTTAGAGCAGGCTGTAAAGTAGGCTCTATCTCTTCCGTCTTGACCTCCTGGAGCGAAGGTAGTGGTCATCGTCAGATCGTGTATTATCTATCTCCAGAGATCGCTTGTCATTTCTGTTAACTCATGCGTGGGTCCTTTGCATATTTCTGCAATGTAATCGATCCATCTTGTTAGGTTACGAAGTAAATGCTCTCCCAAATGGCCTCTTAAAAATTTTCCATTGGCTTGTACAGTACCTGGTCAAATTATTAGGACAAGCATTAAAAATTTGCATTTTTTTAAATTAATAATTGTAATCAACAGGAATGTTATTATTTTTTGCATAGCAACATTTAATATAGTATGGTAACAGTATTGTACTATTTTAACTTTGGCAACACCGCCCTATCCGCCATTTTTAGACACCAGTGCGTCCCATGATACTATGACAAGCAAGATATGCCCACTTGCCATTCTAATTTTAATCGACTTTGCGCATGACATCATGTTTACATAAATTATAAATCATGTTTACATAAATCATAAATCATGTTTACATAAAAATAAAATAGCCCTTGACAATGCTTACAAAAAATTTCAGAAGAAATGGGTAAAGATATTACTAAAGGAGATAAATGCCAAAATAAAAAATTCCTCCAAAATTTTCCCGCCTACATAGAGAATTGGAATGTCTTTTGTATTCGAATCATCCCTATACAGGGTGAGTCATGAGGAACTTTAGATACTTCTACCATATGTAGAGTCCCTCAGGGAGCAGATCATGTGGCCACTAAAAACTGTCAACTCCTCTTTTTTATTAATTAACAGGGTGATTTGTGTAATTGACTATTTATTTCATTTTACTGTAGTGTTTATACGGCTCATTTGATTTTTTTAATTTTTGCATGATACAGTACACAACTATCAAGCATTCGACTGGTATTAGCTAAACTAAAAAATTCCAGGACTGGCTTTGGAAAAATTAATTTAGGGATTCGCATTAAATATTACACCCTGTATATATATTTTTTTTAAATGCAATAAGTGATTTTCAAACTACATAAATAGCCAATGAAAACGACATATGCGACAATGTTGTCGCACTTTTATTAAATTTTTAGTGAACGATCAAATCTTACCAAAAATAGAACAACCATAATGAAGTATCAGATTATAAGGTAATTAATTTAAACAAATGTTATAAATTTCAAACATTTTAATTGAAATGATAAACTGAGCCACTACACAACCAAAAGCAGTATTTACTAACAATAACGAAAAACAATTTAAAAAAAAAATAAAAATATGTACATAGTTATGATAAACCCATAAATTAGAACTGAAAAAGATACAATAATGGTAACAATATAAAAATAATTCAAAATAGATTTTCGAAATGGAACCCTGCAGCCTGTACACATTTTTGTTGCCGAATTGTTAATTGACGTATTGAATTACGGATACTCTGGGGATCGTTTCTAATAGTATTACAACAATGTATAATTCTATCAATTAATTGTTGTCGGTTATTAATATTCACTGCGTAAACTTGTTGCTTCAATCGTCCCCAAATATGGTAATCAACGGGATTGAAATCAGGGGATCTTGAAGGCCACGAAATAGGATCTGCACGTCCTATCCACCTGTTGCCATAAACATTATTGAGATGTTGTCTCACTGCCAGTAAAAAGTGTGGGGGTGCCCCATCATGCTGAAAATACATTCCTCGGATATCAACGTTCGCGTTGGCAAGCAAGTTCGGCAAAATATTTTGTAGAAAGTTCAAATAGACCTGCCCTGTTAAAGGACCATCAAAAAAGTGAGGACCTACTAATTGGATATTTATGACACCAATCCACACGTTAACCGAAAACCTTAACTGAGAACGACGTTCTCGAATAGTATGGTAATTTTCTTATGCCCACACATGTGAATTTCGTAAATTATTTATCCCGTCTCTGGTAAATTGGGCTTCATCTGTAAATAGTGTCCTGTATAGCGTTGGTCGATTATTGTTAAAACATCTACAAAATTCCAACCTATCGATCTCATCTCCAGCATGTAGTCGCTGAACCATTTGAATGTGATATGGGTATAGATTATTTTTTTGTAAGACTCTACTTACTTTTGATTGACTAACATTGAGTTCTCGACTTACTTGTCTAGTGCTTATTGTAGGGTTCATAGTAACGGCGTTCATAATGTCATCTTCCTGCGCTTCATCTACATGTCGCTCTGTTGTTCCACTAGGAAAAGTGCCATTTTCTCGCAAATAATTAAAAACTGACCCAAATGTTGGATGACTGGGAGTTCGACGATTAGGAAATCTCCTGCGATATTCTCTACTAGCAGCCCTACCATTCCCATTACAGAATCCATAAACAAATATTATGTCTGCATATTCTGTGGTCGAAAACTGATGTGGCATTTTGAACAAAAGTAACAAAAGCTCTACCAAAACTAACACAATGTACTTAACGTAAATATGACAGAAAAAATATGTATTCTTGTACACATAAATAACAATTGATAATGACAATAATGACAATGGGTATAAAATATCAAGAAACGTCAAACGGTCAACGAAAACCTTCATTTTAAACTTTTTTAGATTGATTTTTATTTAGTACAGTTGATGCAATATATTATTATTTGACATAAAATTTTAATCATTTACAATCAACAAAAACTAACACATACAAGAGGTTTGACTTTTTAATCAATTTAATTTATTATTTATCGAAAATAATGCCCCAATACGATCTATGAGTAAAAATTTAAAATTGAAAAACAATTGATTCTATTGTAGAGATAATACAAAGTGACAGTAAAGATGTTAATTTTCTACGTATTAGATTATGTTGTAGAAACTCATTTTAATTAAAATGTTTGAAATTTATAACATTTGTTTAAATTAATACCTTATAATTTGATACTTCATTATGGTTGTTCTATTTTTGGTAAGATTTGATCGTTCACTAAAAATTTAATAAAAGTGCGACAACATTGTCGCATATGTTGTTTTCATTGGCTATTTATGTAGTTTAAAAATCACTTATTGCATTTAAAAAAAATATATATACAGGGTGTAATATTTAATACGAATCCCTAAATTAATTTTTCCAAAGCCAGTCCTGGAATTCTTTAGTTTAGCTAATACCAGTCGAATGCTTGATAGTAGTGTACTCTATCATGCAAAAATTAAAAACATCAAATGAGCCGTATAAACACTACAGTAAAATGAAATAAATGGTCAATTACACAAATCACCCTGTTAATTAATAAAGAAGAGGAGTTGACATTTTTTAGTGGCCACATGATATGCTCCTTGAGGGACTCTACATATGGTTGAAGTATGTAAAGTTCCTCATGACTCACCCTGTATAAAAATAAAATATCCCGTGATAGTGCCTACACAAAAAAATTTTAAGAGAAAATTGGTGAAGGTATTACAATAAAGGAGATAAAGGCCAAAATAAAAAATTGCTCCAAGATTTTCTTTTCTACCAATCCAATTTTTCACCCAAATTTTTCTCTTTTTTTGAGTTTCGGTTCGGATTCATTATTAAATTTCTAACAATATCTGTACTCATCAGCAATATTTGCTTTTTAAATTCATTTCGAATACTTTCCATCGATCCCTTTTTTTTGTTGGAAACTCAAAAACTTTTAATTACAAAACAATTAGTTTAGTTTCAGATGAAAATTGTAAATGTGTTTTGTTCTTGTCTGTTACTGGCCTATGCCAGTAACTGGCATGCCAGCTACTTTCCCAATTTACTGGCATGTGTGTATCCGGCTTAAAAGTTTACATTGTGTAATTTAAAATTGTTCTACATTCCGGTTATGATATATTCTGTAGAAATAAAAAACACTGTTGAATTTTCTAGTTTATTGTACAAAATAAAACAAATTTAGTTTGATACATTTGCAAAAAATTTAATAATTAGAATAAATATATTAAAAAAGTAGCCTATCGTTTTTTATGCTTCATGTGATTTACCGAAATATATTTTGTTACAGTAGAGAATACTTTAAGAACTAATCTATAATTATATAATATTAATATAAAAAACTATAATAAAAAATTTTAACTACTGAATGCAGTAACAAGTTCGGTAAAGTTAACAGCCTAATTAAAGAGTAAACTAGAGTAATTACCTATGTATAACAATAGAATCAGAGACGACGCACAAATTGAACAAGTTATTGGAGACAATGGAATGAAAGTAGATAGGATAATAGCGGACCATTTATACGCCAGAGCCGGCACAGCTCGAGCCATCCAATTTAATGAAAAATTCATTGTTAACAAGCTGTATCCTGCGGGCGCTGCTACGCCTAAAACTAAAATAAATTTGAAAAAAAGATATTACAACAAAAATATTCAATTCATTTTGAAACATTTCTGCTGTTGCAACATTTCGAAACGAGTTGATTTGGTCAGTTTGATCTGGCCGCTGGCTTAATGAAATATGTGCATGTGGCAATTCTCTTTTCTGCCATTCAATGGAATACACCCAGCAGCGTGTCTTTTCAAAAATGTAATGCTTGATAATAAAATCTAACAAATATTTCAGTGTTTATTTTCAGTTTAAATGTGGTAATGTCATGGCGGTCCGAAGAAGATTTTCCAATTAACAAAAGT